AGGGTAATAATGTCTGTCTCATTCTATAGTCTTTCCCATCCCCACATCCCTTCCCCTCCCCTCTGCACAATCTAAAGCTCCTTCATTCTTCCTTACCCACCCACCCTCATTATGGATTAGCATCCACTTCTCAGGGAAAACATTTGAGGGGTTTGGCTTATTTCACTTAGCATGATATTCTCTAGAGCCTGCAAATTGGCCTGCAAATGCTATAATTTCATTATTCCTTAAAGGCTGAGTAATATTCTATGGGTATATATACCACAATTTCTTTATCCATTCATCCGTTGAAGGGAATCTAGGTTGGTTCCATAGTTTAGCTATTTGTGAATTGAGCTGCTATAAACATTGATGTGTCCCTTATTTTTGATGTGTGTCATCTACTCATCCAGGATGGACGCCCAGGTGACCACCAGTAATGCTACAGTGAGCAGCCTTACCTGGGACACCTTGAGGGTGACATTGGACAGAAAAACATCCCTGAGTTATCATATGAATTTCCTAGGGCTCCCATAACAACAGGCTTCAGACTGGGTTGCTGAAACAGAAATTTACACACAGTGTCAACAGGGCTGCTTCCTCCTGAGGGTAGGACTTCAACATAAGAATTTTGGAGGGACCATTTAGCCCATGTCAGAATATTCAATGAGTGAAACTGCCACATCATAGACAGTGGGGTATTTAATTTGCCCACATTCATGAATACTTCCATGAGGAACAGATGAGGCCCCATGACTTAAGCCCCACCCACATTCAGTGAGATCTAGCTTTCTACTCTTTTGCTAACCCAATTGTTATAAAGTGGTATCTCCTTAATGTTTTAAATTTCATCTCATAGGTAAGTTTTCAGGATTCCCTCTTCAGTGAATAGTCTGTGAATATCCCTTGCCAGTTTTTCTACTGTATTTTCCTTTCCCAAGTGATTTGCAGGATGTCCCTTACATATGCTAGACAATGGCTTTAGACATTGCTAATACACTATCCCCTTTTGGCATTTGTCTATTTCCTTTGGTCATAGCGTACTTCATCAAACAGCAGAAATCTTCAACTTTCATATAATCAAAGTCAATTATTTTTTTTCCTTATGGTTTGACCTTTTGAAGTTTTGTTTTAAAAGTCTTTCCCTTAGATCCAAAAGGTAATCTTCTATATATTCTTTTATTAAATTTGCTGTTTCACATTTCAAATTTAGTTCTTTAATCCATACAGACTTCAACTTTGAATGCAATGCTAAGTAGAAAGTTCTTGTTTTTCCATCTGGTGAGCCAGTTTCCCCAAAACCACCTAAAAAGCAATCTTTTCTCTGAGTCTAAAACCAAGGTGCCACTTTAACCTTACATTAAGTCCCCTTAAGTCTCTATTATGTCCTGTTCATCTATGGACTGTTCTTATGTCAATGTCTGTTATGGTTTGGATGTGAGGTGTCCCCCAAAAGCTCACATGTGAGACAATGCAAGAAGGTTTGGAGGAGAAGTGATAGGGTTATAGCCTTGACCTAATTAGTGAATTAATCCCTGAAGGGATTAACTGAGTGGTAAGTGGGGGCAGGTGGGGTGTGGCTGGAGGAAGTGGTTCATTGGGGACGTGGCTATGGGGTATATATTTTGTATCTGGGGAGTGGAGACTCTCTGCTTTCTGATCACCCTGCAAGCTGCTTCCCTGTGCCACACTCTTCCACCATGATGTTCAGCCTCACCTGGAGCCCAGACCAATGGAGTTGGCATTCTATGAACTAAGACCTCTGAAACTATGAGCCCCCAAATAAACTTTACCTCCTCTATAGCTGTTCTGGCTGGATCCTTTTAGTCACAGCAGCAAAAA